ACATAATAGGAGGAACTACCTAAGCGTATCTCTGGAAATGGCAGGAGTTGCCTAGGCATGCCTGCGACTCAGTCACCCTCACCTGCCCTTGTTCCTTCTCTGTTACTGATCCACAGACTTAAGACATAGAGGGCTAGACAGCCAGGGCAAAGGATTCAGCCAGACCTGGATTGGAGAAGAACAGCTGTGTCTTGGTTGGTCAAAGTTTTCAATCAGCTCCTCCTTTCCTAGGGTTGCCAGTTAAAATATAAGTTGTCCAGTTAAATTTGAATTTCAGTCCCCAAAATCATATGTCTTTTTATTTGCTAAATCTGGCAAGCCTATCCTTACCATGTCTGCAAACAGCCCTGAGTCTCCCACCATGAAAAATAAATAAATAAGCACATTTAATTTTTCATTGGAAAAATTAAATTGGTGGTTAGAAATGCCTTAATTGTAAGTTGTTTTTCTTCCATAATGCTTCCTGACACTTTATGGACCTATTACTGCATGTTTGTACTAGAATCTAACATAAGATGGCAGCAAGTGGATCTGGTGTGAACGATTGATGTGGTTATTCGACAGAATATAGTAATAGCACTTTTCAACAGAGGGGTCAGGGGTACCAGCTGCTTTGCTGCTTGAGTAAATTCCTTGTTACAAGGCGAAAGAAGTTGTGTGGGGGAAATGGAGCTCAGATGTGGGCTCCAGTGTCCTGGGTGGGTACCGACTGACTGGGTAGGGGATGAAATGGTTAAGACACAGAATCTTTATTTCTTAGTATCTCTTATGATGGTATGTGTATGGACTTCCAAGTTGGAACAAGCAGTAGGAGAAAACTAGGAAGGCGGAGCCCAAACCATCAAGACAATCGAAGAGACACAGCCATTGAATTTCTTGAATGCTCTTATTCCATGGGTGCCCATTTGTAGATGATGTGGCTGTCCTATCCCACTGTCTGGATTGTTTCCTCTTCTGTCATTAGGGCACCGTGGTGGTGGTGGGGGCTGGTTCCCAGAGGAATAGAGAGTCCCTGCCTGGAGAACTCATTTCTTCCTTGGGCTACAGTTTCTGTGTGAAAGGGATCTCTCAGAGTTGTGCAGAAGAGATGTGGGCTTGCTTTTTGGGTCTTTGTCCATGGAGAAACCTTGGCTTTCAGAAGCTCACTTGGAGAGACTGTTTTCAGTATGAGACACAAACTCAAGAGTTGAGTTTGAACTTGGTGAGTTTCCAAGCTGGGCTTGGGAAAAGTCAGGGTGTTTTCTGTCCTCACAGCAGTATCTTCCCTTCTCATCCCCTCTCCCTGCCCAAGTCTAGAGTATGGTGGACAGAGAACTTTCTGTCAGCACTGTGCCTATGGGTGAGTGGGGTCATCTGAGAACTTGTAGAGTGGGTGTCAGAGAACATACAGAGAGTATTGACCACGAGGAGTCCCTGAAGCTTGGGACACAGTCCTAGTGACTTCCTCTTGGACCAGATGTCTTTTCTCAGGCAGCCAGGTCCAGCCTCAGTATCAGCATTATTAGCATCCCACCAAACCAGGCCAAATTGGTTGTGCTCTACAAACAGCTGCAGATGGGAATCAGACTATGGGCTCTAAGAACAATTTTGATCCCTTCAATCTTTGAGATAGTTTCCTGTTTATCAAACACATTTTAATTTAATTTGCACAATACTATCAATGGAGTAGTATGGTTCCCATTCTTCTGCTGTGAAGTCTGCAGCTCTGAAGGATTGAGTAGCTCAAATCTAGGTCTGGCTGAATCCTTTGCCCTGACTGTCCAGCCTATATGTCTATGGATCTGTAACAGAGAAGGGACAGGGGCAGGGTGAAGGTGAATGAGTCATAGGCATGCCTAGGCAACTCCTGTCAGCATCTCATTTTACAATGTCCAAGCTGGAAGAGACGCCAAGATCATCTTGTCCGGCCCTTCCTCATTCACATTGGAGCTCTGAGAGTAGACAGGGCTCCCAAAGCGAGTTTGTGGCCGGGCTCAGCTGTAGTTCAGGTCTCTTGCTTCTTCATCTATTATACCTTTGATTGATGTCAGAAAGAATGGTTTCAGAACAGGATCCTACTCTGAAATTAAACCTGGTGAATGGGAAGCCCTGGTTTACTTAACACTGACTAGCTGGGTGTTCTCCAGGACTGGACCACCAGGGATGGGATGGTGGTTCACCTGGAGTTGCTTAAAGAGATGAGCGGATCTTTGAGTCCTGGGCTCTCTCCTTTGATGCAAGTTGAACGCTTGTTCTTCTTGGGCATCATTCATCTTGTGATGGTTCAAGTTTCTGGGAGGGAATTCCAGAGGAATTCTTCCTATGAATCCCCCTTCATACTTCCATCTGAGAGGTGACTCTGCTGTCTGCAACATGGATAAAGGTAGGGGGTTGAAGGTAGTTGAGACTTTCTCCTTTGGCCAGCTTGTCGTCCTGCTATGGGATAGGTAAGTACAGCCCTGGACTCTGGCCCATGGTAGGCATCCTGAGTGCACAGGTGGAAGGTGGTGGGACTATATAGAACAGCAGACACCTGAGAGAAATCTAGAACCCTCTGCATACATGAATGGCACAGTGGAGAGACTGAAAGAAATAAAAAAACAGAGGAGAGCTGGTAAAGGACTTGGGGAGGGCAGTCATCTGGGCCTGTTTTGCAGGACAAACACTCTGTGCCACAAATGAGGTAAACTGAGGTTTGGGTGTGTTAAGGACTTGCTAGAATCTGCCCAACAGTGGCACGGGACTCTACATCGATTAGTCCAGAGAACCTAAGGGGAGGCACTTAGAGGAGGCCCCGTCAGAGTCTCTGTTTCTGTCCTCATAGGCCAGTGGTTCTCAATGGGGGGTGATTGTGACCCCCAGGACACATCTGGCAATATTGGGCGACATTTTGGGCTGTCATAACTTGGGAAGGGGTTGCCACAAGCATCCAGTGGTATAAGCCATGGATGCTGCTAAACATTCTGTAACACACAAGACACCCGCTCATGATAAGGAATTATTTGGCCTCAAATGCCACCGGTCACATAGGATAAACACTGGACTGTGGTTGGCGGTTCAAACCCGTCAGTCACTCCTTGGAAACCCTATACAGAACTGACTTGATGGTACTTAACATCAACAGCAATAACAAATTATTGCTAGTGTTGGGGTGGAGTAACTCTGTGAGAGCCCATCCTAGGCTAGGGAGGGTGGGGTAGCTGTGAGGAACGCTGCTGAAGTGGTGGAGCTTAGGTAGGTGCATATCCCTGCCCTCCACTCCCAGGACGGATTGTATAGAGCAGCTCCAGAGAGAGTCCATCTCGAGTTGCTTTCAGCATCTTGTGGCAGTATCCCCTACCTTGGGTAAGGTGTGTTTACAACAGCCAGTCAGTCCTCTGTGAGCAATTTCAGAGAGAAGCTTATAAAGTGTTTTAAGAGGTTGGTAAATTACAACTTTAGAAACACATGAATACTTCCATAAATGCCAGCCTTGCAAACCCAGTCTGCATGGGAGAAGACTAAACAAGGCTGCCTACGCCCACGGAAAGCCCATGTTGCGTGGCGGAAGGACTGATCCTTAATTCTCAGGTTCTCCTCTTGGCTTACTATCTGGTAGTTTCCCCTTTTGTTCTTTTCATCCCTTCCCTGTCCAAAGAGTCTGCTATTTACCATCTCTGTAACCTATTCAGGGACCAGAGGGTCAGAGCGGGCTGTCTCAGGATTCTAGTCTACTCTGTTAGATCCAAAGAACTGTGGCCACAAAGAGAACGGCGGTCCATCCCTTCGCAGGAATCCCATAGTAGCAGGAGACACTCCATAATGTGCTCACCTTGTTGTTGTTAAGTGCCGTCGACTTGATTCCAGCCCATAGTGACCCTGTATAGGATTTCCAAGGAGCGACTGGTGAGCTTGAACCACCGACCTTACAGTTCAAATGACTTTGCAGTCTGACACATTTCCACAGTGCCACACCAGGACTCGTGCTCACTTTAGGGATTGGTTATGGGACACTTTTTGTTCCCAGGACCACCATGTTGTGCCCAGTGAGTAGACAGTCACTCCCATGATCCTTTGCTACTCACAGCCATACATCATGATCAAAGATTGTCCTATTAGCCTAGTCAATCTTTCTAAAATAACTCACGGTTTTCAAAACACTCTTACTTCTGTTTGATCCTCCTTGATTCTGCGGGAAGCCGCAGGACAGAGAAAGCATCTCCACCATTCCAATGGATGACGAAGAGTCCAGAGAGAAGAAACTGGCTCAGTATGACAGGAAAAATTGCCAGTAGAGCCAGGATTTAAACACTAAATTCTGGGCACCTAGACTTGACTTTGATTGCATGGGAAAACAGCAGGACAAAGGCATGAAATTTAGGGTCTGAGAACACTGGTTCTCTTGAATCTGAAGACTCAAACTCTGCTACTCGCTGCCTGTTCACCAGGGACAAGACTTTTAAACCATTTCGAGTCTCGGTTTGCACATCTGTAGAGTAGAGCTAATAGCCATCTCCAAGGGTAAATAACTATGAGCCTGGCACAAACCTGATGCTCCATGAATTTTAGTTCCCTTGCCATCCCAGTGGTTCAGGCATACATGAGCAGCTATGGGGTAGTGGATGGGATGACAAATGGGCAGACTGGGGTGGGGGCAGGCAGAGAGAAGAGGAGCTAAATGTCACTTGTAAGGCCGCTCCCGATTTATGGGATCTGATGTAAAGACTCTTTGAAGTGGCAATAAAAATCATATTCTGCTAAGAATGACAACAGCAGAGAGTCCTGACTTAGCAAACCAAATCCAACTTTTTTTTTTTTTAACAAGGCAAGGAATTCTAGATGGGTAGCAAAAAAAAAAAAAAAAAAAAAAAAATCACATTCTAATGAGATTAGCTTTTTAGACTAAGAACAGGTTTTCCCAAGAGTTAAAGATGTGTCACATGCCACCACCCCATGGACAGTGTATATAAACTCCCAAGAGAGGCCTGAAGAATCCAGACCCTGAGCTCCTTGCTAAGCGGCTGCCTTCCTCTGCTAGCATTATGGCCACCCAGATCTGTACTCCTACCTTCTCCGCTGGGTCTTTCAAAGGCCTTTGTGGTCCTGCGGGTGGCATCTCTCGGATGTCCTCCATTCGTTCTGTGGGCTCTTGCAGGGTCCCCAGTCTGGCTGGGGTTGCAGGGTCTGTCTCTTCTGTTAGGCTGGGCCTTTCCGGTCTTGGGAGCTGCTTGCCTGGTTCCTACCTGTCTTCTGGGGGCTACCACTCTGGCTATGCTGGGACTGGGGGCTGGTTCTGTGAGGGCTCCTTCAATGGCAGTGAGAAGGAGACCATGCAGTTCCTGAATGACCGCCTGGCCAACTACCTGGAGAAGGTGCGCCAGCTGGAGCGGGAGAATGCAGAGCTGGAGGGTCGCATCCGTGAGTGGTATGAGTCTCAGATCCCATACATCTGCCCGGACTACCAATCCTACTTCAAGACCATCGAGGATCTGCAGCAGAAGGTGATGGGGACCTGGGTCCTCACCAGCTGGGCTATTCAATTGGGCAATCTACTCCTCTGAGTAGAGTCTGTCTCATTACAAGCTTTTCCTAGATGGGACTGCAACTTTTAGGGAATTCTCCCAGCAGAGCAAGGTTTTCTCTCTAGAGTCTTACTTTTCTGGGGGACCCAGACTCTCTGCTAGTTTCTTGCTTGTTAACTTGTTGCTAGCCATCGCTCACTTCTGCTCTTGGCCTCAGCTATAGGAAGGGAAGTTATATTTACCAGTCCCCTACTGGATACAAGCCTTGGCTCTGATGCTTTCCTGTCTGTTAGCTTATTTATTCTTCACTGTGGGGGTATTACTAGGCCCATTTAGCAGATGCAGAAGTTGAATTAGGGAGAGCTTCAGTGACTTGCCCTAGGTTATACAGCTGTAAGTTTTGGATGCAGAGCCTGAATCCAGGCCTGCCTGGTTCTTTCTCCCTCACCCCGTGCCACTCTGGAGGTTGCAGATTCTAGGACTGATGATTTGTGATGTCCCTGTCCTGGGGTCCACGCTCCCTCCTCTTGGGTCAGGGATCAAGGTTGGAAACGCAGGAGATTGTTGGTTGTACTTGGAAGCGTGACCTCTGGGTGCTGGAATATTTATTTCCTCCTCATACATGCCCCATTGCTGGGCCTTCTCCAGCTCACTGGGAATCTCTCGTTCTCCAGGTCCTGCTGACCAGGGCTGACAATACCAGGCTGGTCCTGCAAATTGACAATGCCAAGCTGGCTGCTGATGACTTCCGGACCAAGTGAGTTGGCCTGACCCGGAAAGGTTTGCTGTACTGTGGCTTCACCTTTGTTTCTTGCCTTGGGGAGCTGGGGAGGTGGTGATGTGAAGTCAGGTCAGGTGGAGTGGTAAACAGGGGATCTGGCACTAGGGCAAGAACAAGGGCAGACTCAGCTCCCTACACCTACCTGACTGGAAGTCCCTTGTCCTTGTCTTTGTGGGCTTCCTTTGATACAGACTTGGCACAATCCTTCTTCCTATGTGTGTAGGTATGAGACAGAGCTGTCCATGCGGCAGCTGGTGGAGGCCGACATCAATGGCCTACGCAGGATCCTGGATGAGCTGACCCTGTGCAAGGCTGACCTGGAGATGCAGGTGGAGTCTCTGAAGGAGGAGCTGCTGTGTCTCAAGAAGAACCACGAGGAGGTGAGGCTGGTGCAAAAGCCCCGCTCCAGCTTAGAGAGCCACCGCTGGTTCCTGGGCATAACAATAAAGACACCTAGTTCCAGAATAAGAGCAGGTGGCATTTATGGATGGGTATCTGTGTGCCAGGAGCCACATGGGTTGCTTAGCATTTCATTTCATATCTCATTTCATCCTGACAACAATCAGGATGATTGTTGAAGAAACTGAGACTCAGAATGGTTAAGGTACTTGCCCGTGGTAGTACATCTGCATTTGGGCCACTGGGTTTAATAATAATTCTGTTTGTCTGGTGTTTTATATGATCTTGTTTGACGTCCTCACATTCCCAGGAGGTAGAAGGCATAGGCTCACGAGGAGACTGAGGAGTTAACTATCCTGTCTAATGTTACACAGCTGGTAACTGAGGGTCCTGGTGTGGCACTGCAGGATAATGCACTAGACCACAAGGTCAGTTTGAACTGCAAGGTCGGCAGTTCAAACTCACCAGTCGCTCCTTGGAAACCCTAGACAGGGTTGCTATGAGTTGGAACAGACTCGATGGCACTCAGCGACAACAACTGAGGGAAGAGGGTTTGAACTCAGCTCAGTTGAACCCCGTATCTAGCATCCCTTATCCTCTGCACTCACTTGTCTCCTCTCTGCAGGAAGTCAATACACTCCGCTGCCAACTTGGGGACCGACTGAATGTGGAGGTGGACGCTGCCCCACCAGTAGATCTCAACAAGATCCTGGATGATATGAGATGCCAGTACGAGGTGCTGGTGGAGAACAACCGCAGGGACGTGGAGACCTGGTTCAACACCCAGGTGAGGCTGAGCCACAGGCTCCTGGGGTGGGGCTAACCTGTACAGAGGTCTTACTTCATCTGACTGTCCTCTGCTTCCTACCATGTGCTTCAGACGGAGGAGCTGAACCAGCAGGTGGTGTCCAGCTCAGAGCAGCTGCAATCCTGCCAGACGGAGATCATCGAGCTGAGACGCACAGTCAATGCCCTGGAGATCGAGCTGCAGGCCCAGCACAGCATGGTGGGTGACTCCCAGGCTCAGCATGGGACCCTTAGGGGTGGGCACTACACAAACCATATGTGCAGCTATCCAGGGCTGTCGGTTTCTGGGGTCCCTTTGGCATCTCTTTCGCTTTCCCACTGCAGCGGAATTCCCTGGAATCCACCCTGGCCGAGACGGAGGCCCGCTATAGTTCCCAGCTGGCCCAGATGCAGGGCCTGATTACCAATGTGGAGGCTCAGCTGGCTGAGATTCGCTGTGACCTGGAGCGGCAGAACCACGAATACCAGGTCCTTCTGGATGTCAAGGCCCGGCTGGAGTCAGAGATCGCCACCTACCGCCGCCTGCTAGAGGGTGAAGACTGCAAGTGAGTGGATGCTGGGCACTGGAGAACCCGGTTTGGGGAAGGGCTCATCTAGACCAACTTCAATGCCACAGCAAGGGCATCCATTCCTGAAGTCCATCTTCATGTGGACTTCAAAATCCTCTTGAGAATCTTTCTAATCTGGGTTTTGATAATCTCTAGACAAGCCAAGCCAACACACACACAATGGTCCTCCAGCCATCATCTCTGGAAGTTGATAGTCTTCATTACTGTAGTTCTAGCGCCCCACCCTTGGGGATCTCAGGGGTCAGCAAGAGCTGGAATTGGCTCCATGGCAAGGGGTATCGGAAGCCATTCTTGTTTTTTACCCATTTGTCCCCATTGATTTCCCAAATCTCAGTTCAATGCCTCAATGCCAAATGCACCCTGAAATGATTGTTATTTTCTCAGGCTTCCTGCCCACCCCTGTGCCACGGAATGCAAGCCTACTTTGAGAGTTCCTTATCTGCCAAGCATGCCCTGTGCCACCACGAGCATGCCCTGCACCCCAGCTTCCCAAATCAGTACCCAGATCCGAACCATCACTGAGGAGATCCGAGATGGTAAAGTCATTTCTTCTCGCGAGCATGTGCAGCCCTGCCCATTGTAAACAGTCCCCCTGCAGGCCTGGACCACAGGAAGGACACCTTGTGGCTCCTGGCTGTTAAATGACCCCACCCTTTCCCTGCTCAGCAAGTTTTTCTACCCAAATCCTTCTTGTATTGTGTTTCTGGACTTCACTGTGCTTTTACGCCATGCAAAATACAATCATATTTTACTGGAAATTTGCCCAATAAAGTGTGTTCTCTTGGCATAGCAAACTCAACCCTGGTCGGGTCTGTTTATTCTCTTATGGTGGAGTGTTTGGTGGGGAGTTGCAGTAAGATTGTGGCCTGTCTTCTCTGGCTATAAATGGAAGGATGTGGCAGAATGATCTAGAATATCTGGTAGCTGGGGTGGCCCTGATCCTGGGCCATGACCACAAACACTGACCCAGCCCAGCTAAGGGCTGGCTTTAATCCAAGCCTGTGCTACTCGCTATGTTGTTGATAAGTGCTGTGGACTCAGTTCTGGCTCATAGTAATCTACACAGTAACCTGTACAGGGTTTCCGAGGAGTGGCTGGTGGGTTTGAACCACTGACCTTGTTGTTAGCAGTTCAGTGCTGATCTGATAGCATCACACCAGAACTCAAGAAGCAAAGGCTCCCAAGGTTCCTTGGTGGCCTTGCCTGGATCCAGGGCTTGGCTCTATCTTCCTCCAGCTTCAGCTGTCCTTGTATAGTCCTTGTCACCCTGCTGTTCACCTTCAAGCCTCACACTGGGGACAGTTCAGAAGAGGGTGGGAGGTTTCAGGACCAATCAGAGAGGACCATACACTAACCAGCCAGTCAGAGTCACCCACCTCGAGGTGGAAAGTTGGGGTGAACTGGGAGGTAAAGGCAGGAATGGTAGGCAACTCCAAGTCCCTGGCACTGGACATAGGACTGAAGTGATGGGCAGCAGGGACACTGAAACTTGGGGAAGGGCAAAGATCGTTGTGGAGCTGAGTTCAGGGTGTCCAGATTCCATTGACTGAACTGTGCTGGTCTGTCAGGTTCCTGGAAACCCTCTGACCCGAGAAGTTTGGTCTGATGGCCTCTGAGCTTCTCTGTCCACACTGCCTTATTCTATCTACAGTTAACACAGACCCAGAGAGAGGCAGTGACTTGTCCCAGGTCACAGTGCTGACTGGCTGTGGAGGCATAGACTCTTCTCATCCCTTCCTTTCTCCTGTGCCTGAGTTCAGGACGTTCACAGGAAAGGTCTGGCCTTGCTCTAGGTGGCAGGTATTTGAAATCTCTGCATATCAATCTCAGAGCTCAGGAGACAAGTGCGTGGGCAGAATTCTGGCATCCCATGCTACCCTGAGCCCGACTGGCCTGTCATGTGACCACTGACTGTCTCAGCTAGTTATGACTGAAATGGAGCGGTGTGTATAGCCAAGTGTTGGTGTTAATGAGTCCATGGGCTCTGAGTGGGGAATGGGAAATGGGGACTCACCAGCTATATCACAAGTCAGGTCACTGTTGGGCCCTATTCTGTTAGCAGCACCCTCAGAGTTGGGCATCGTCTGAGCATCCACTTGGCTTTGGGACAAGAGCCTAGAAGGGAGGTCAGTCCATGTGGCTCTCACCTCTGCCCTTTTTTTTGGCCCCCTCTCTGATCTGCACCTCTGCTCTGTGGAGCCCGAAGCCCCAAATTCCCAGTTTCTCCCAAATGCCCAAGGTTGGGAAATCAAGGTGGGCAGTCAGCATGGCATCCCCACTTGGTGGAAACGTGGAGTAACCAGGGCTGAGGGGAAGGACTGTTGATGTTCCACAGCTTTGGAGCAAGATTTGCTGTGCAGGATGGTGAGCTAGCATGCTGTCAGCCACATGCACTGCCTACTCTGGGAAGGCATAAAGTTTACAGTGCCTTCAGCCTCTTCTCATGCACAAACAGCCCTGTGTGGTTGTAGGTGTTTGTGCATTTCTACCTAGCTGTCTGTCGAATTGTCCAGAGCACCTGCATTAACTAAGGGACTGCCTCCCCCCACCACCTTTTATCCCACTAACGAATGTACAAGCTGGTACTCAACCTTGTCCTGGAATAGGAATTGGCAGACTAAAGATACCAAGTTAGGTTGTTTGACTATTTCATTACTGTTTCCATAACTTCATTTGTAAAATTATGTAAAACAAACTTTAATTGCAAGGTCTGACCTTTTTTATTTTTCTTGGTCACACATATTCACACATCAGTTAATCAGTCAGCAAGTGTGTACGGACCACCACCTATCTGGAAAACCCAGTGTCACACAGGGGTGGGGACAGATGGACACAGTAACAGGTACAGTTCTGAAGGGGCTCCTGTCCGGCACGTACACAGTACCAGGAATAGCACGACTGAGTGTGGGGTAGGCTTTGGGATTGTAAGGAAAGGGAGAGATGAGTGAGTTGGGGTGACCAGATAAGGCATTAGGGGAGACTTGGGTTTTATGGAAGCCTTGAAGGATGGGTCACCAAGTTTGGTGAAGCAGAGAAGGTAGACAAAGGGCATTAATTCACTGTGTGACCAAGTGCACTCATGGCATGTTCCGGTGGCAGCATGAACCTCACCTGAGCTGAGGGCAAAGGTCTTGTAGGAAAGCTACTTGCTAGCCAATGTTAGTTCTTGCTGATAAGTGACTCGAGGCAATTGCTTATTTCATTCTATTAAAAAAGAATGCTAAAACAGAATGGATATCATACCTTTAAAAGATTGTTTTGTAAACATGACACACTATCCCCGAGTCAATTCTGATTCAGTGACCCTATAGGACTGCCTCATAGGATTTCCTAGGCTGTGGCACTGTAGGATCAAAACTGTGAATCACAAAGTCAGCAGTTCAAACTCACCAGCTGTTCCTTGGAAACTCTATACAGGATCACTGAGTTGGAATTGACTGACACTTCACAGCCATCTTTATAGGAGTTGGTGGTGCATGGGTTAAGCGCTTGGTTACTGACAGACATGGGGGAGGGTTGAACCCACAGCTACTCCATGGAAGATGCGGCAGTCCTTTTGGTTAGCAGCTGGGGGCTCAACCACCATGCCACAAGGACTCCTAATTAGGGATTGTTGTGAAAAATGCCGTCAAATTGGTTCCAACTCACTGCGACCCTGTGCAGGGTTTCTGAGGAGCAGGCAAGTCTGAACCCCCCATGTTGCAGTTCAAAGTGACCTTGGGCCAGTGCTTATCCTATAGTGTCACACCAGGGCATTAAATATGCTCAATCCCCTTCTATTATCCCAGGCTGTTTACTCATTTCTAAGAGTCGGAATAATAGGCCTGACTTTCCCTCCCTTCAACTTGTCCTTTCTCTGAAAACCCTTTGCTTCTTCACGGACACTTTACCATGGCAAACCATTTACACATTCACCCATCTTCTCATTCATAACAGCCTTCTAGAAGCCGAGCAAGGTGAGTAGTTCAAACTCATCAGCCACTTCTTGGAAACCTTATAGAGTTGCTATGAGTCAGAACCAACTCGGTGGCACATGCTCCATGCTACGGAGGTTTCAATAGCACGAGGCCCATCCTTGCCCTCAAGAACTTAAATTTCCCTGGGAAGATAGGGGCAAAACACACTATCTACTGGAGAAGAGCAGTTAAGGGTGGGCAAATGAATCACCCATGTCAATGCCATGGACACCAGAGCTAAAAGGGTGCCAGAGTCTGAAGTAGGGGATGGGCTCCAGGGAGATGATCTAGCTCAGGTTGGGATCCCAGGGTAGGCACAAGGTCTGGAGCTTAAATGCTTGGTCTTCATAGTCTCCAAAGGAAGACTGTGTGCACCTTGGATAAGTCAATTACCACTCTGACCACGGGTCCTCTTGTGGGCATCAGCACCCTTCTATCCACATTGTAAGGTATGTATGTGGGGATGGAGGTTGAAGGGGAGCAGCTTATAGGACATTGTTGTTACGTGCCGTTGAGGTGGCTTCGACCCATAGTGACCCAGTATAGGATTTCTAAGGAGCGGCTGGTGAACTTGAACCGCTCTGCAGTCCAGCGCTTTAGCCCACGCGTCACAGCAGGACATATCCTACTTGAACAACTGTACACATGCAAGTTCTGCTAACTCCACTCACAGTTCATAAACCACGTCACCTCGAGTAAGTTACTAAGACATCTGATGTTTCAGTGTACTCATTTATTTAACAGCAATACTGATGCCAATCTTACATGGTTGTTGTGAAGACTAAATGAGATAATACCGTATAAGTCAAAATATTGCTAAAAAACCAAAGAAACCTTTATTAAACAAAAATATCAAAATGTGAAGCTATCATTTCTTGACATGTCCTACATCCACGTCTATACAATTTTGAAGGCGGTGTTTCCATCTCTCTCTCATCCCTAAAGACTTCGGCGTTCTTCAATGTACACATCAAAATGACAGTTTTGGTATTCTTGAGGGAGTTAAAGCATGTTCCTTCTCAGTGTTGAGTTTTGGGAGAAGAAGGGGCAAGATCAGGGTTACATGGTGGATGGAGTAAGGTTTTTCAAACGCAGTTCTTCAGCAGAGTCCTTGCTACCCTTGAAGAATGAGCAAGCACATTGTCGTGATGAAAAAAAAAAATTTCTTGGTGCAATTTTCCTGGCTTTTTCCTCACCAATGCAGTTTTTCTTAAAACATCTTCATAAACCCCCATGCATGCCCTTTGAGAAAATCTGTCAAGTTTCCCTTTGGAATCCCCCTCAAAACAGTCACCATTACCTTCTGAGCTGACCTCTTTTCCTCAGATCCCCCTGTAAGCTACTACTTTGGTGAGACCTTACTCTCTGGATCACACTGGTAAACCCAAGAGTCATCCCCGGTCACAATTTGTTCCACAAAATCTTCTTCATTAGCTTCAGTCTTGTTTGAAAGGTTGATGGAGAGTCCAGCTCTTTGACTTAGCTGATTTCTGCGCAATGTTTTTGGGACCCATCCAGCTGAAAGCTTGCTGCGGCCAAGATGTACGTTTAAAATAGAAAATGCCGAGCCATGTGAGATCCCAACTTCAGTAGCGATTGCATCAATGGTAATTCGATGATCCTCTTC